AATTATAATATACAAGAAACAAGAGAGTGGGCTCCATAGTCCCAATCCTTTATGAAAGATTTCATGCCTCCTAACTATGCAACAGTTGCAAGGTTGCACATTGTGTCTGCTGTTTTATTTATTTTTTCTGTGTTTTTTGGGAAGATTCTGTTTGACCCGCTTCTGATAATGGACGTTTTGGTTTTGTTTTTGATATTTCTTTAATCACATCTTTTCGCGAACTTTCTTGATCGACCATGTCATCTTAATACGCTTCTTCCTCATCGTCAATATCACTTTCAGGTTCACTTGGTTTAGTATCTTTTGTCGTCTGTCGTAAACACTTTAATCGTGAAAAAAATGATCGGATTTGTGATGGTTTCATAAGTTTTTCAACAGTAAACATGAATTTGCCATTATTTGTTTTGGATTGTTGAATGTCAAATGCGACAGCTTCTGATTTCCATCTTATACCACGCGTAATACTATCATTGAATTTATTTGTGGAGATATTGTTTCTGTTTATCAGTAAACTTTGTAGCTATTCGTGGTTTTGGCAATGCCCAACCTTGATCCAATTTAGGTATATGTTGATATTGACTTTTGTCGAATGTAGGCATTTCCAAAAGAATGGAAACCATTTAACGATCATCAACTTTTCTAATTTTGACTGATATGTTTTCATGGCTGTATCAGCTAAACTATATTTTTCTATTACACGATGGTGTTTTGGGGCCAATAGCTGACGAACAAAATTACCGTATTTCAAGAACTTTTGTACACGTCCCTCTTCAATACAGTCCCGTGGGTCATCAGAGTCTTAGACTGTATCTTCATGCTTTTGTTCTGTTGCTTTATCAAATTTTGATTGCGTGGTTGTTCGTGTTAAACGTGACCATTGAATACTAGTGGGTTCTTTAACACAATCAATTAGGCTAATTGTTGGAGCTTGCATCATACCGTAAATCATATAGGCATTCATACTTTTCTTCATGACTGCAATCGTCATCCGTATTGCTGAAGAAGCAGAGGTTTTTAGACATTTTTTCAGTTGGATAGGCTTTTTTTCTAAACTATATTTTTATAAAAGCGTGTATGTAAAAAACAACAAACCCCGAGGTTAAATAGAACAAAGGTACTATCACGTATGCCTTCTTTTACGATATTATACGCAAGTAGAAATTGAGTGCCATCTACGATAAGAAAAGAGAACCAAAATAAATGTGGTATGCGTTCGATGTAAAGTAGAAATCACATATATTGAATAATTACATACATAGTTTCTTTTCTTTAAAGTATAAGTAAAGATACCATTATATGCTGAATATTTGTATGCATTTCTAAATCGTTTTTCGTTCTTTTATATATATGCTCTGTTTTAACCCTACAGAAACAATAAAGTATAAAACGGCAAAAACTGAGTATGATGAATTTCATATCAGAAAACTACACCTTTTCTAAAAAAAATTCATTTTACACTTTTTTTGAAAAATACTTTTTCATGCGGCTTAAAACAATCCGTTAAAACCATCAACGCTCTGCTGACACACTGTACATTTATCAATGTCTAATCTATGAAAATAAAGGAAACAAATCAATGACATGACTACATATTCGATAAGACAACACTAATTATCTTTGCAGTGATATTCTGAAGGCAAAAGAAACATCAGCACATCGTGTTTCAGAGCCACTTTGTTAAAGCGTTCTTTGAAAAAAAGACTCGCGTTATCTCTTTACTCAAACTTGATATAACCTGCAATAAAGACAAAATTCTGTAGAAAGTATTCTTAGTATAATGAGCAAAAATCTGTAACACGCAAAAAATGAAGCCGTCAACTGGATGGCAAGAGAGAGTGTGAATGTATTAAACGCAATCTAAATACGTATAAGGACAGGTACAATGGCTGGACCAGCGTAGATTCATTTATGCGTGCCTCATTTGCCAACAAACAAATAACTCCTTATTTTCGCACAACATGCACTGTAAAAGAAAAATGCGACTTATAGGAAGACGCGGAAGTCGGTTCCCATTTAGTCGCATAACCGCGCCTATTTAGAAGACACATCACCTCTGATAGTCACATCAATCCGTCTACTTCTAAGTCACATGGAAGACACTGAAATCTGTTCCCATTTAGCCGTATTTTAGCGGCTCTTTTGAAGTCGCTTTGATGTGCCTTCTGGAAAAGACACATTAAAAAACGTTTTCGTTCCTGTCAAGAATTGAACGCGATCAGTTCGCTTAGCAGACGAATGTGTTCATCACTGAACCATACAGGCGCATTAATTATTAGTCTTATTGATCTCTTACGTTGACGTTTTATGTGAGACATTAAAAACCTAGTAGAGTCACATGGAAGGCGGAAAGATGTGACTACTAAGGGTCTTTATTGTCTTCTATGCGACTTCTATATGTCTACCAGTAGACACATTGAAGACATAAAGAAGACATCTATTATTCTGAAGACGCAATGTAGTCATACAAAAGACGGTTTTTCTCGGTAGACACATCGCTGAAGTTGCATTTTTTTAGAATGTAGACCAATAAAATCTCATACATTTGAAGTACGAATAAGATGATACCTATTTTAAGATAGTGAAATGTCAAAAGACGTGTAGCTGTTAAAACTAAAATCGAACTTGGAAACTTGAAATTGGACATCACAGTAATTTTTTTCAACCTTCATGATGTCCATCCTACCTTTGCCGTTTAGCCTGTTTTCTTAGTTATTTTATTCTGTTACTCTTTTTTGTTTTCTTATTTCACAATTTACTTTCCTGTGGCCACCTACTGACAACATCTTTATTATTGTTAGATCCATAATAATCTTCGACCGCTGACCTTGTATTAGAATCATCAAAATGATCATGATTTCATTTCACCTTAATCTAAGAAAATAGCTACGTCAAACTTTTTTATCCACACTAATTTGCTATAAGTAGAATTATTACATTATACTACGTACTCTACAAGCATTCAAGTTTTTCGCTCAATTTACCTATCTGTACAATCTGTGAATCATTGAATCCCTCATTCGGTAAAAAAAATAGGATAATTTTCAATTGTAACAAAATCTCTATAATGTTCAAAAATTATTTTCAACTGTTTTTGAAAAGTTCTAGAAAACACTTTTTTACTTTCGATTGCAGTTTGTTTTTAGGGTTGAAATGAGTATTGTGACACTAAATAGATTCCCATGAGGAGATATTAACTAGAATTTGAAACTATCTGAAGCTTTCTCTAATATTCTGAAGCGTGCCATTGCCTAGAATATTCTTTAGTTTACAATGTTAACCTTAGACAAAAATTCAGATTTTTTCAACTATTCTCAAAACGAATGATAGCAATGTTTTTCTCTTGATAGAAAGAGCTTGTGATCAGTCGCAACTATGAAAATTCGCATTTATTTTTCTCAACTCGAAGAGGTCATCTCACTTGCAGTTGCAGAGAGCTGAAAAGCTAACATGAACAGTAAAAAACTAAAAATACGTCAGAGTATAATATTTTACTCTGAAATATTCCTCTAATTCTTATTTTTTCTTATTTCTGTAGCTTTGAGCTGACAATGAACATTTAGGGCTTTTCTTGTAAATTGTATAACTTTACAAAGAAAGGTAGTGTAGAGCTGGGAGATGTCTCATTTCAATCAGAAATGTGCGGGCTACAATGATGCCTCATTATGAAAGATTTGAGTTATTTTTTATAGTGTCTGAAAAACTGGTTTTCAAGAAAGTCTAGCGACCCGTCTCATGCTGATATTCTGAATCGGCATGGTCTACTACCTATAGTTCACTAGGTTTTGGCTGGAAACTGATTTGACAGTTGGGAACGTTCCCTCGTAAGCTGTTGTTGTTAGTAGGTGTCAGTCAAAGATCAGTGAGCCGCAGATCAACGTTACTTGTTGATAAATATGAAACAAGGTAACGCTCGTCTGCATTCGCTCTGTCCCTCGACTTTAGGACGTTATATCTATGAGCGACCTTCCATGACTTTTGAATCCAACAACACTCACGCCTTCTTTCAGTCTGCGTTCTCTAGTGAACTATCTAAAATATGTAATGACTTTTTCTCTGATTTGATGTGTGAGGTTCGTAATCTAATGTAAATCTAAAAAGTTTTCTTGAGACCCTCCAAAAATCTCAGAAGCCTAAAAACATTTCTGAATTCAAGACAATGCTCACGGTTCCCTTCGGTCGATGTTCATGGTCAAGATAGCTGAGAAATGCTGTGAATTTCTTTGATTCCACGGAAAAAGCGCGCACGTGTATAAAAGAAATAAACAATTTCATGGATAAATGACAAGATTCGACCAAGTGTGAAGTTGGATGAACCAGATCAGAAAGCAATTTCTGAGCATGTTCAAGTCAGACAGACGTCTCTCTGTGATTTTTTCGCAGAGAGTTGTCTGCCTACTAATCTGTACCTAAGTTGGGTACAATAAAGAAAACAGAAATAAAATAGAGATTCGATCTTATTCCCTTTCGTTCCCGTTTTGTACGAGGAAAAAAAGAAAAAAGGAAGAAATAGTATGGAGATTCGAATCAGTTTCCATAAACGGGATCTCGACATTTCTTTGTCGTCCCTCACGGAACTCAGTCTGGGATCCTAACGGGGAAATGACGGGCTCAAAGACGTGGGATCTCGTGTCGTCCCTCTTTTCCTAATACCGCCGATATACCGAATCGGCTGCTACAACACTCGTTACGCCGTTCTGAAGAATAAAACGGAAACTCTGCGACTGATATTGAGAAACGCAATACAGGTGGAAACTTGTCTGTCTACTTAAAAAGTGAAAAGTTCGTGTAGTTTTTCTAGGACAGAGCTCGATTTTGTGAGTTTCTATTCAGAAATGCGCATAGTTTAGCGCTTTCAAAACTTAGACACGTGGGATTGCAATGTCTTTAATGGATTGCATATTACTGTTTATTTTTTAGACAGAAATAAAAACAAAATGTCGAAACCAAAATTGAATGAGAAACGCTGACGATTCTATATTAAAATGGTCAACAAAATGATGAAAAACGGGCTTACGTATGGAGAAGTTTGTAAAATACCGGAATTTCTCGATTATCTACTGACAAGGGGAGATTTATCGAAATATATTGAAATATATGGAATCGAAGGCGAAATTGAAGTGAGTATACTTACAAATTTTGCTCGGTGCAAAGGAATAAAAAAATAATGACGTTTTTCTTTCTCTGTTTTCTTCTGTCCGGATGTACAATTAGTTCAACAAAATGATGAAACTCCACAGAAACCGCCGAGAACCGTTCAGCTACAAACGATCAGAACTTCTCCAATTGATCCTATACAAGAAGATTCAAACTCAGTTGAACGTGGATTACAAAATGATGAACAGAATAATTCATGAGTGAATAGTGTGCTAGCTTTTTATGTATTACACATTCTTTTCGCCATAAAATCAAGTATAAATAAAATTAGTAATTCGGAAACCGTATTATTTTTTCTTTTATAAAATTTTCTGTTGCTCTTTTTTGATAAAATTAGTCAAATAATAAACGAACAGGCCGAAACTAGGTCGGAAAAACAAAAAAAAGATTGCACCGGTAATGAGTGGAACCCGGGTTGCGGTTACAGTAGGCTGTAAATATAACCGAAAGTTGATGACCGTCGGTTTGATCGTACTGGTAACCGTGGTGCTGCTAAAATACCGCACGGTTACCGCGCGATAATTTGAACTCCGCCGGTGGTGAACCGTCCATTATTCTCGGCTGGTAACCGGGCAGTATTTTACCGGTATCGAAGATATGGGATGTGTCTTAATTTAAAATAGTTTGTTCATAGTTTCGCATCATTACCTAATTCAGAATGATTGCCTACTGTATGTAGAGAAACAGTTCGAAATGTTTAAATGAAAACGGAACTAACAAATAGGTTTGCACTCAGTGTTTCTGTTTGTGCTCAATAATAAAAGATGATAATGCCGTAATTGTTATAAGTTATTAATTTAAATATGGTTGTGTTCGATTCTGAGAACATTTTTGATCGAATACCTCATCAAATTTTGTTTTCGAAGTTATCTCTGTCGACAATTCGAAGTGTCCGTGACTTCTATCTATGTAAAATAATACTTTGACAATGGTGGCGAAAAATCATTATTACTATTTGTTTAAGACCATATTAGGAAGTGATAAGGCCAAAGAGAATATATATATTACCTACAGATAATTAGGACAGTTAATGTGTTCTCTGATGTGTTATATGGAAGCGTTAAAGAAAGTAATCTATTGGAAAAAATGAATAAAATGGATAAGAAAAGATAGATTTTATATATTTTCTCTCTTATACACACATCACAGAGGAGCGCTTCACATTATTCTACAAATGATCCAAATGATTCGAATGATCCGAATGATTCGTTTGATCCGATTGATTCGTTCATAGTTTTGACGGCTTCCCTAAAGTTTCTTTTCAAAGGTAGAAAAAGCATGCTCAGACGTCTCGAATATTGCAGAATAACTTGAACTTTGTTTTGTCTTTTTTTTTATTGAGAATATTTAATAAGATAAATACATTAGAGCTTCGAGAGATGATTTTTATTAAAGCAAAAAACATGAATCGGTATGCAAAACCATGCTTTGAAAGTTGATGCTCTTAGTATCTTTTAGTGTGGCTGTAGTTTCTTTTTTCTTCTACATCTGTAGCACCCTTTCTTCTGCGGTTTCGTAGAGATTTGCATGGCGAATATAATGGTATGTGAACGAAGTCTAAGTGATCAAGTGTAAGCGAGATATCAAAAAAATACTGAGACCGCCATTCATTATGGCGCACCCATTAATTTTTCGCATCAAAAAAAGATCTAGTTCAGTTTAGTTTACTAAGCATTGGATATAGAAGAGCGGATGGTTGTTCAGTTTCTTGTATTTGAATCGTATGGAGACTATTATCTTCATTAAAGCAGCCAATAACTTTGAATGATATAGCACGCAAGACACGGCGTATATCATCTTCTGATGGGAAACACGATTGCTTTTGAACATTTTCACCAGAATTGCACTCGGAAGCAAGCATAGTTAGTACGCTTGTCATGTCTACAAAGCGTTCTGATTGCAAAACTTCGACCGACTCAGGACAGAAAGAAAGCTGGGCATTCCCATGAGGTTCAGAAGTATCCGACGACCCTTCTGGTGAATCGAGTATCACAGATGCGTTGTTTTGACGTTTACGAATGCGATCTAATAATAGGAAGAAGTAGGTCAAAATCTTTTGATTTTCATAGTCGGGATTTCTAGTTAAAATACGTATGGATTCCGTACAGTACGAGAATGATTGTTTCAGGTCACCAAGCTCAAGCCAGATAGCTGCTAGACTATGGTGTATATTGCAACATCGCACATCATTTTCTGATGCACATGTATGAAGCACATGTAAGCCTTTAGTACAAAATTCCAAAGCTTTGTCATATTCACTCTTCAGGTAATAACACCATCCAATGAAATCATAACATGAAGCAATGGTAATCTTATCTCTGGAAAGTCGCTTTTCCTCTGCTTCTAGTGTAATATTTGCATGAGAGATAGCTAGATCGTAGTCGTGTATTGCTTGATAAATAATGGAAATTGTACATTGTATTAATACTCCCTGGTAAGAAATCAAGGGATCATCTTCCTCGGTACAAATACTACTCTTCTTCTTAGCAAGAGTATCGTAAGCCATTTTGTAATAGTTTATTGCTTCTTGGAAATCGTTACTTCTATGATAGCACAAACCAATCATCAATTGCGTATTCATAATCTCTTCAAAATAATCGGGATATTTCTTGATTCGAGAATCAAGCATTTTTTTTGCGTACACTATCGAACAGTCAAACTGATCGTACGAAAGGTGTGTAAGGATAATACGTTCACAAGTGTCAAACCACAATTCACAATCATCCCTCTCAATCTCGTCGTACCGATCCAAAAATTTTGAATAATATGTCGTGGCTTCAGAAGTGTCATTTATTTTCAACAGTGTCTCTGCTATAATAAGGTAAATCTCCTCAACAAATGGTCTTCCAGTAACGTCTAATAAAGCAGTAACGGCAATAAACTGTTCCAGCGCTTCATTGTATTGTTTAGCTTTGAGGTAACAAATGGCTAGGTGTGCACGCACCTTACCAACAAGGATTGATTCACCATTCTCTATACTATGCTGAAATGCTCGCATGTATTGTTGAATAGCCAGTGTGTACAGTTTTTGCACGGCGTAACAAGTTGCAATTCGTACATGTATGATAGTAAGGTTTTCGCTTTGTTCACCGTTACAGTTTAGAATAGATGCTATCTTGCGATAGTAACGTTTGGCCTTGTTGTAGTGCTCTTTGGATTCATAAATCACTCCTATATAATAGTAATACAAAATACGAAACTTAGTGGATTCTGCTGATAATAAATGTCCTGATGCTTTGATGTGTAGTAATGACTCATCTAATGATTGAAGCGTAATGTCTTCTTTACCGCATTTTAAGAGAATTAGACCAAGACAGAAGTGTATTTTACAGCAAGTGTCTTCATTTTGTTTGTATTGAAGGAGACGCATCTGTAGATATTCGTAGGCTACTCGATAAGGATCAAAACGCAATGATTCCTCATTTGTTACCGAATATGTCCAACTTGTAGAACACAATCGAGGAAGACTGTATGGCGTAGGATCTGGAAATTCAAGCCGGATAGCAAGGTGATCAAGTGCTTGATGGTAGTCATTCAAACATGTATACATCACGGCAAGCCAAAATGATATAGCGTGAAAACGATAATAATTTGGGTTGAATAGAGTGCAAAGATTATGAGCTTCTCGGAGATGATCGGCAGCAAGCGTAAATTCTCCTGATTGGGTATATATTTCTCCCAGCTCGCATTGTATGTCAATTTTTTGCGTATTATCATCTATAGAATTGAGAGATTCTTTTAATAATCGGCATGCTCGATCTTTATGACCAAAAAACACTAAGCCGGTGGCAATCATAATGTCATCTTCCTGTTCTGATCTTTTTGTGTTAATGTAGGCGTCTATTAATTCTTCTGTCTCGTTCACACTCACTAAGTGAACCGTCCAGCAATTATCCATAGGATCTAATACGACATCAGCAACTCGGAAACTAGTATCAAAGTCAATCAAAATTTCTTCTTCGTCAGGGATATAGCTGTACGTTGAAATATCAGCATAGATGATATTCTCCAGTTTGGGATCAATTTCAATATCAAATACGACATTGGCTGCGAACATTCGAGCAACATTGAGAGATTTTGTTGTTGACAGAAAACCCTTTACAGTTATTGATTTATCACGATAGTTCTGAATACGATTGATTTCCATGTCTGGTAGATTTGATCCACGGTAAACATGAAATAAGTCTAATGTACCATTTATTTCTTTTCGCTGTTTCTGCCATTCCAATTGAATCTGTGTCGATAGATCAACAGCGAACAAAACCATGTCACAATCGTAGACATTTCCAGTTTGTTTCCGCATACATTTATTTAAAGAAGAAAATAAGAAACAATCCTTCGAATACCAACGAAGTGCATCTGTAGATTTATACGTTCTTTCAAATTCGTCTATAAGTCTCAGTTGAGTTAAATTAGAGTTGTAACGTTGGCGACAGTATTTCAACAGGTTCATCTTCTTACCTGTAACTTCCAAGCGATTGGGCGAAATACGAGAGTGAATATCGAAGAGTCTAATCTCGGGATTACTAATTAATTCTTCCATACTTCTTTCATTTAATTTTTCGTCGAAGTCGAAAGCTATCACCTGATGATTTAGCATTCTTGCTTGTGCTAACAACTTCTTTTCCATTGTTTCATAATCAGTAAATATTCCGCAAATTTTATTGTACTGGTCAGATGCACTGTATAAAGAAATACAAGTAGTTAAAATGAATATTGAAACCACTCGGCGTTCACTATGCATAGTGTTCAATAGTAATTCGTGATCCATATTACCTGATAAAACTAACAAAATCTTCCCAGAATCGTGAATGTCATCGGTGATAGTTTTCTTCAATGTATCAATATTTGAACATAAGAATGTATGATAGTGAATTGTGTTAAGAATATCTTTTAATTGATCAGAAGGATTCTCGTCATACCACATTATGTTCACGTATTCATCCATTAATACCTTCGTTTTTTTACAATAACGTGATTTGTCAGTGGTTCTGTTGTATAAGAAGGAAACTCTGAAAGCAATTTAGTTGTATTGATGAAGTTGAAAATTAACGTTACTCTCAGATTATATGTAATTTTAATTAACGCTTGAAGCCTAGATGAAGAATGATAGTAAGTGACTTTACATCGTATTGTTCTTGTGTGTTATAGATACTGCAAAGCATGAGGGCTTTTAATCTTAGAATATTACAACTAGCTGAGCTTATATTGCGTTTATCAAAAGCTTATTGTAGTTCGTCTTCTACAGAAAGAGGTTATTTTTGCGAGATACAATCTACGAGTGTGTATAAAATTTCATAAAGATCTGCCAGAATCTAGAACGTCCCTTTTTTTCATTAATGCATATATTTTCATCTTTGCTGTTTTCCCAGATCATAGTACAACCTAATGAATATAAGGAAAGTATGGTTGAATGAAGGCTAATAATAAATTAATGGACAGTTTATTCAATCATATTTTAATGCATTTCTGTCGTTCAATGTTTCACTTGTATTTCAGAAATTATAAAAGATCATCGGTATTTATGTGGTGATGAAATTTTGAATATTTCAATGCGAATTATACCAGATAGAACTTAAAATATCGTCTTAATTTAAATTATTTTGCAAATGATTGCAACACACACCAAATTAAATACAGTTCAATGACACTTGCTTTAACAAGCAAAAGATTCAAACGATACTCACTTCAATTTTTTCACTATAGGGTACAAGCAACACGACGCAATACTTTGATCAACCCTCACGCTGTTTTTATACCGCCTTTGTCAACACTCAATTTCTCTATACGCAGAAATGATGAAGAAATGAATTTTTAACAGAAGACTGAATGCACGTGGAAAAAGTATGTGAGAAAACGTTATACGTATATAAAAATATACTTCGTCATAGGCAACACTGTTAAAGAAGTTATAGAAAGCACCGATGAGCAAAGAAGTGGTACCCAAGGATGATTTACCGTTCCATACAGCCCTGAGAATCTTTCTAATAGAATTGCAAGCTTTTCTCTTCTTAACATACTTTTTCCACGTGC